AGATAAAAATTTTTTCAGTGAAGCAACCTTGGCTTGGAAAGGAATAATAGCCTTGTTCATATTTTTGAATCTTCACAGTTTCACAAAACTTGCATCGATTTTCCTGACTTTCATGAGGAGATAGCAAGTGAACCCAATTTTGATGATATAGTAAAAGTTATAAATAAATAATTTATGTAGTGATATATTCAGCGTTGGATAGTGGTGTACCTTATTGTTGGTATGCTATAATAATGCGCGATAAAAATCATTCTTTTATTATAAACATCCACTGTGCGGATGGTGGAAAAGAATTACAATAATGCATATTCATAAATAGCGAGTCTAAAGTTTTATTATTATTAGCAAAAGTGATTCTTGCAATCGCAAAGATTTTGTTGAAATGACAAGGTATGTGAAGCACTGGAATGTTGGCGTCGCACAACGTCCCATCTTTCGCTTCTCTTTTATACCACATTCACTAATGGCCACAGTTGCAAAGCCCGCTGGTACACAGATGGCATCGTTGAACTGGAAGACTAGCGTGCCATGGAGAGTGCCATTCTTGTCGTGTGCAACTTCCTTTCGTCGAACAAACTGAAACAGAACATGTCCAATAGACACGAATCGATTTGTATTATGCGAAATGCTAAAGTGGAACCACCGTTGCAACAAATCCAATCGTGTTCTTAGTATTAGCAGCAAAGGTATACAGTCTGTATCACGTGTATCACGTTGAGTATCTAACGGCCATAGTGTCCACCAACATCTTTTAGTACTAGCACGTGAAATCCAAATCCACGATCACTCGCTTTCGAAGGGCGAGTAGCCTTCATATACACACACACACACACACACACACGCACACACACACACACACATACATACATACACCAAATGAGCAGTAACAAAGTTCGTGCACGTATTTTACCGTTATTTTTCGTATAATGCTGCCATTATCTTTCCTAGAGCGCATTCCGGTGACTTCAAAGTGATTCGTAGGTACCTATGATGGCATCAAAAATGAGTCGCCTCGTGAC